AAGCCATTCACGCTGTCAGAAGGAAGTACTGATTACCTTGATTGTCCATTAAGTCTTATTTAAGAAACTCTTTGGCTTGGGTTAAGGAGGAAATGAGTATAGTATACGGAGGCAGGTAGCTAGTCAAACTCACTGATACAGTTCAGAGAAGCAGAATTACAAGCTGAACTCTGTGACATCTCAAAAACTTTTGAACCTTTTGTTCCCCAGGAAACACTAAGCTTGTAAAAGATTTTAAATGCAGAAGGAACAAATTTGACCATTTCTGGCCTCTTACTCAGAAGCTGATTCTTCAGAATCAAAGGTTGTTGTCCTTTCAGTTCTCCTTCTTCAGGGGTGCCATATTCTGTGTTAAAGAAAGCGCACGGGAACGTGAACCCTTCCAAGAGCTTTAACTGAAGAGCAGACCTAAGAGCACTGTGCTGTTGGATCAGGCCTGTCCTAGGTGATCCTGCTTCACAGGGGCATTGGACTAGATGATCTCTAGAGGTCCCTTCCAACCCTGAACGGTCTGTGGTGCTGTGACCCTGCTGCCCCAGGCCCCTCAGCGGTAGGATACCGCGGCCACTGCAACATGAAGTGCTGCAGCCGTGAGCCTCGACCAGCTGCTCGAGCAGTGAGGAGGGAGCAAGTGACAGGCACATGGAGGTGCTGCTATAATATCCCCACTTTAAAAAAAGCCCTGGGTGGAGATGGCTGCTGCTGGCTCGCCAGTAGCTAAGGGGCAGATGCTCACAGGTGTCATCCGTGGGGCAGCAGTGGCCCAAGGGCGCAGCAGCGCTGTGCACCTGCCCCACAGAAGCAAAGGCCACTTGCGCCCGGGCCTGCCAGTGGGTGGCCCTTTCGAAGGCAATAGAAGCATGTGGGAAAAGCATCAAGGGTAAAGAACACTGAAGAGAGATTGAACAAGTGCTACCATGCTGCCAGAAGGGAGGAAATGTTAATTTTACTGTACTTGTACTTACTAAGACAAAGTGATAGGTATCTGGGATGGGCAGCAAGAAATTCTTCACTTGGCTTGTTTTTCTCTGGGTTCCAGTTCCCACCAGCTGCTAACCAGTCTTTTCCAAATATTTTGCGATAATCAAGCTCTGCTCCTTTTCTTTCTTTTATCTGTACAGACACAGGAACAGCATGTAATAAAATTATAAAACTCTCCAGAGAAGAAAATCTAATTAATGACACTGACTCCTTGCTTGCTTTTAAGCATTCGGTATGTTTTAATGCTACCACGAGTCTTACAAACCCGATCTCCAAGGACTGACTAATCCATATATTCAGTACACATTAAAGCTATGAAGAACCTTACAACCCCTAACTCCAGGTACTCACTGATCCATAAATGAACATCCAAGCATAGATCTTGCTGTGTATGATGACACAAGGATGCTTTTGTAGCTGGAGAACAGACACTATTTCTGCTCCCTTCCATGATAAATGTTTGCTGAAAGTTTGATTTGGTTTAGATAATGCTGTCTGCCTATTAAACAAGGCAAGTGCTTGTATTACTGTCACTGAAACAGATTCAACTATGCTGCTTTTTGCCTTTTTTTTTTCTTTTTTTTGGCTAGAGTATGGTTTTTGTTAACAGTCCTGCAACACGAGTCGGGCACTTGAGGAAACCCCACTCTTCCTCCATCTTGTCCCAGTCCCCACGGAGGTAGTGGCATCCGGAAACAGGGGTGGATCCTGCAGCCCCACTGAGTGCCCCCTCGACTAGGGGACGCAATAATTGGCTCTTTACTTTCCTGCACCTGGACAAATTGTGATCTGAAACTGAAAACAATTCCTCAGGCAATGCTTTAATATTTTTCCCCAGACTCATGCAATTTGTTGAAATATCACATACCTCAGACTTGTTCAAAACCTCCAACTGACTTATCTTGGCAATAATTAGCTGTCTCAGGGTCTCTGGGTTCTTTTCCGTGTCCATGAAAGGGTTATTGTGACACTGCAGTGACCGCAAACTTGGCAGTTTATCGAGCTCATTGATAGATGACCACTGCAATGCAAGACAACAGTCTTTTGAGGAAACACAAAACGTAGTTCATTTCAGAACAATACACAGTAACGGTGACTTTCTCTGTACAGTGACCCCGACTGAAACTATTCTTTTGGTCAGAACCAAGTACTTTCATCCTGTTCATCGAGGTAAGGAAAAAGAACTGCATTACATTTAACTAGGAAAAAACAAAACAACCCCTCCTAAACAAAATAATCAAGGAACACTTCAGCATTTTACATTATTAGAATTCTGCGAGTGGAATTACGAGGGAACAGATATATATATGACTGGCTACCATTAACATGTTTAACTGAGACATTAAGAAATGTTTTTATATTTTTTAATTATGCCTCAGTATTGATCAAAGTATTCAACAGCTATCTCAGGATCTTATACATATAATCAAAGAAATTTTAAAAAAGGAAACTGCAACTTGCTTCTAAACAAATACACATGCATTCACAAAACGTGAAACTATCACAATTTAACCTACCTGTGATATTTTATTGTCTTGTATCGCAAGGCGTTTCAGTGAAGGAAACATTTTTGACTTGCATCCTAGCAAAAAGTAAATTTACAAGACAATATTAAACAGAATTATAAAGCTATAAATAAGGTTTTCATTTAAATTATTTCTTTTACATACCAAATCCGACATCAGGAAAGTATATAGAAGTTAGTCCAGTGTTTCTAAGTATTAGCTGTTCTAATCTGAAATTTAATAGATACAGTGATCACTGTACATGGCACGGGAAGTTTTTTGTAAAGAAATACTACCTCAAAATTTTTTTAAAACAAAGATCTAATCAATTTTTGACACGATGCATTATCACTGACAAATGAACAGCACCTTCACAGACAGTACCCAGACTTGGGCAGTTTTCAGGGAATAAGTTTGCAGAGAATAAGCACAATAGTTTCAAGCTTTCAGATGGCTCCTGGATTTAAATGGTGTGATTTTCCAAATGGTTTTTTTAAATAGCTTGTGGCTCTTGAAAGTCACAGCTGCTATGCTGGTGCAACACAGTGACTCTGCAAATTAGCAAAACTATTGTAATAGTCCCACAATTTTCCATTCACTGTAACTGAAGTGCTTAAGGACCACACACACACACCCACCTACTCTCCCTGGTTGTAACCCCAAAGCAAGGAATCATAGCTCAAACCTACCACCATGGTAAAGATGCTGCTAGTGAGAGTCCCGTAAACCAGCCGAATCTGCATAAAGGGTGTTACTTTCTGAGAAAGTGGAAATATGTCTACCCAATGCAGTATGGGAAGTACAGTGTTTGGGGTTGGATTGTTTTGTTTTGTTCCTGTTTTTAATTTCAAAGCATGTCTGTTTCAAAGTCTATTAGCTATATCCAAAAAAGCACTGAATCTTCCAAAAGAGAGTGCCTGTGTAGAGAAAGTGCTGCACACTTCTACCAGTCGAGTAACAACAGCATCCTTCCCCGCAGCTCACTATGAAGAGCAGAAAACAGAGATAGGGAAGAACTGCTACCACGCTTTTGTACCTTCCTCCAACCCCTCTTTGTTTTGTTTTCTTTACCAAGGATGAATGAGGAGGCACTGTGGGTGGGAAGTGCTCAGAGCAAGCGTCCCTCACACATGATCTTTAGCTCTTTAGCATGCCAGCCTCAGGAGCGGCACCTTCCAACAAACTGCCCAGTGGCTTTCTGCAGCCTCAGGTGATGCCCAGGTGGCTGTGCAGCTACCAACAAACCTGCGTTACACTGGCACTGTCAGAAATCTGTTCCCAAGAAACCACTTCCATAGCTCCTTTGCTTTGCCACTCCACACAAATGCTACAGTCCTGTCATCTTGAATAAAACCCTGTGCATGTTTATATGTAAAGAATTTAGTAGTGTGATAATTGACTTCTGTTTCATAAGTATATAATGAAAACTTAGTAACATGCAGGTTAAGAATGTGTTACTAGACAACAAAAATAAGATAATGTTAAAATAGCTTAATTAAATAATTCAGTTACTCTCCTCAAGAGGGCAAAATACCTCTGTTTCAAGATTCCCTAAATCTTCCATGCAACATCAATACTATCCTGTTTCAGTCAACAAAGACTATGGAGATGAATATCCAGGACAAATAAGTTCCAGCATATTTGCTCAGCAGCTACCTGGGGAGATGTGCTATTGCATGCAGCTGACTTCCATCCTGTAACTGGTTCTCTGAAAGATCCAGCAACTTCAGGGTCTGCAGGACATTATCAGGCCTGCTACATTGGGAAAACAAACAAACACAAATGCAGAAACATTTAAAGTTATTTGTTAATGAAAACGCAGTTTTTCTAAGTGTATAACCGAATGCAAGTAATTGTACACCTTTAGAAATGTTTGAAAGTACAGCACGTGAAGTTTGCACCATTTATTTTACAATTACATAGTGGCAATGTAACATTACAGGAATGTAACTTTATCTGCTATATAACTTTGCAGCACATCACTCACCTTACCTTTCCAAAACTGTGATATTATTAGAAGTAAGGTACAATTCCTCAAGTGCTGGCCATCCTGGAGCACAAAGAAGAACCTAAGAGCAAAACTTCATTTAATATAAAAAAAGTTGGGAAAAAAATATTGCAGAAACTATACTTTATGCACATTTCCTCAGAACATGTTTGGAACAAGCCATAGCTCATCAAAACCGAGAAACAAGTACTACGGACTGTCCAGCCCTCACTTTCTTCCAGCTGGCCCTTTCCTGCGTCTGGATCTACCAGCACAGATGACATTGAAGGGGTTCTGCACCCTCGCGGGACTTTGCTCCAGGCTCAAGGCTGACCCACTTCAGACTGTGTGACCTGGAAACTGAGTTTATTTTATTCAATAGGGTTGGAGTGATCAGATTTCCCCTATGATGAGGTGAGGAAAAGACAGTATAGACTCGACTGCTAGCAGTTCTGGAACTTCTGCACATCTCAGCACATCCGAATTTAAATGTCTTAATTTATCAGAGCTTGAAAACTTCTCTGTCTTGGGCCTGTGCCAGTGCATGAAACCACTAAAAAGCAAAAATTGCATTAAGTCAGCAGATATCATCGAATGGCCTAGGCTGAAAGGGACCTCAGAGATCGTTTAATCCAACCTCCCTGTCATGGGCAGGGACACCTCTCAACTAGATCAGGCAGCACATGGGGACCGAGCAGGGATCGAACCCGCGGCCTTGGTGTTATCAGCACCACGCTCTAACCAACTGAGCTAACCAGCCCCCTAAATATCCAGAGGCTTTAGAAGACAAAGTAGTTCAAAAAGGCTACAAATTAAACAAAGATGCATTTGGTTTGAATCTTATGCCCTGAAATTGCAAAAAAGCTATTATTTTACTGATAAAGATTTTGTTTTTGCAAATATCTACAGCAGATAACACAACTTTTAAAAATAAACACATAATACAAAGCAATAGAAATTGCTGGCATAAAACCCAGTTTCGTATGCAATTGTAACAGTGCCAGAAGTTTTGCTGTTTTAGCAAATGGAGTTCCATAAGCACTGGAACTGAGTGGCTTTCTCCAGATTCGTGCCTGCAAGTCTCTGAGGTTTTCCTTGTGTGTATTCTCCACAGTCAAATTAAGCATAAGTTGATCCTGCTATTCCTTCCCTGGTTAGGAAACTTAGAGGGGCTCCTTCCTCCATCTACGCTCCTGTTTTCTTGGAACTTGTAGGTCATAAATTATTTTTAAGCCCCGGCCTCTTTTCAAAGCGTGTTTGAAACTGGCTAGCAGATTCAAAATTTTTGAGATGCGAGAACACAGACGTACACAGGCACAGCATAATTGCCTAAAGCTTGTTTTTACAGGAGGTTACAAAGCAGTTCTGAGATCTGGACAATCAAATTCAACGTGTTACGTACATAGCTAAGCAATTCTCCTATAACTGTCTGCTATCCTAGCTACCAAAAAAGCATCTCCTTTCATCAACTATTTGTTGTTCTCTCTGCTACAGCTGTATGAAGTTATACAGCTGGATGTATACCTAACTGTATCATTGTATAAACAATATGAAATATAAACACTTGAGATCTCTTGAAGTGGCAGCATATGATTTGGGGCTCAACTGCTTCACACCCCAAAATACAAAACTTCATCCTGCTGCAATATCTGCAATAGACGTAAGCTTAACTCGGATATCAAAACCAGTGTTTTCTCTCTTTAATTTGGATAGTGTTGCCCTCTGTCAACACGGCAGACTGAAACAGTTTGCCTGGGATGAGGAGGCATGGAAAGAAGCCTGCAGTGCTGAGAGAAATTCGGTGAGTGTTCAGGACAGAGAACCTTTGGGGCATTCCCCCACAAAAGCCCTGCGTTGTGATGGGCGGAATAGAAAAACTGCACACAGCGTAAGTATCAGAAGACATTGCAACAGACTGAGCAAAAGACTAGAAAATTGCCCAAACCAAATGACAGTCACAACACAATCGTAAGAAACTCCAATTGCCAAATTTTCAACTATCGCTTAAAAGAGCTTCCATACAGAAAAAATGCTCCCTGATCTGATACTGAGTTAACATGCAGGAAGGAGCGGGGGCTTGTGGGCAGCTGACAGGGAGGCTGGGACAAACAGCCAGTGGAACAGCCACTGCTGATCGAAAAAGTAACACAGAAATCCGAGACCTATTGCAAAAGAAATAAAGACTACAAGGAACAACTGGCACCATGCAAGTCCAATGATACTCCTACACTTTTAGTCTCTTTATCTCACGAAGCAAATGATATAAATGGGAAAAGCATGAAGAAGCTTAACAAGAATCAAAAGGTATGAAACAGAGAATAGTTGCTCTGTTACTTGTGTATTAAAATCCTGGGAATTATTAAATGAAATTATCAGGCAGCAAGATCAAAAACCAAAAAGGGTATTTTTTCATAAGGCTCATAATTAAGCTGATATTAAAAGATGCGGATATAAAAATTTTCAAATGGGTTCTTAATACAGTTAGATAAATCATGAAACAAAATAACCACAAAGATTAATTAAATACATATATATATCTCCAGCTCAGGAAGCCCATGAATTCCAGATTACTTTATAAGAAGCTCTTACAATATGCTTGCCCTTTGCCTAGAATTTCTCCCAGCTACCTGCTACTTGCCAGTGTCAGAAACATCTGCTCTAACCCAGATTTCTCTTTTACCCTGTATAACAGTAGATTATTTGATAAATATAAGATCTTACTTTGAAAACAGCATGACAAATACAACATTATGATCTAAATGCTGAATAAGAAAAATGTTTTTGGAGCCATAAATATGAATCCATTACTCTCAAATGCACGGATTGGATTTCTAAGTCAACGTTTTCTAACTAAGATATTTTACAGGACTTCTTTCCCCTTTGAATGTTGTACGTTATGCTTTGAACAATCAATCAACATGTATACAGTAATAAGCTTTTACCAACACATTAAGAGAAATCTCAGATGTATTTATATAATATCATAATGAAAGAACTTTTTGGAAAATTGATGCTCAAGGCATGTAGATGTGGAGTTATGCACAACTGCAAACAGTCCAGATCAGAGGAACAAATGAAAAAACCCAAACAAGTCTTTTTTAAAACTGTCCCCATGCCACATATTCTTACATATGGCAGTAAGTTATTCTGAAATGATGCACGGTCAACTAGAGCAGACTTTCCAAAACAAATGCAGAAGCTAGATAATTTTAAACTGCTCTGGCTAACCTGGGGCTTCTCTCTGAAGCCTGGCTACCCCTAGAGAACTCCAGGCAGCCTGAAGCAATGCCTTACACCAGCCTCTCGGCCTCTCAGGCCTGCGGCTGCCAACGTTTTCAACACCACAACGCCTAGGTTTACTCTGATGAGCACTGGATGACATTTAAAGTGTTTGTGGCCACTTAATTCTTCCATTTACTCCACCATTCATGTTGCTGCTGTTACAGACAGATTATCAACTGTAGTAGCATAGTTTAAGAGCACAGTGAATGGACAACAAAAAATATAGCAATGACCCTCCTCTAGCTCTGCTACAAGAGAAGAGAGTTGAAGAAGTTTCTTTCTACTTAACTGAAACCCCAGTGTGCTCTGTTACTGGAGAGTGGTTGGCAGTAAAAATCTGAAAATTCAGGTAATTTCACAATGCAGAATACAAAATCCACCCCTGAGAAGTCCAAATAATGGGCTGGAAGTTACGAGCCACTGTAAGTTACACGGCACTTCTGAGATGTGCTTCATACGTCCCATCTGTGAAAAAAGGCCCACCACTAACATCTTTGACAACAGGACTTCATTCTCTGTAAGACAGCATTACTGGGGAAGAGTCAATGAAATGTTTGCACGCTTCATTCCCTGAAACAGGCCAGAGCTTTGTTTATCCTGTGCTACGTCTGTTTTGCACATAATCAGGCATCACGTGTTTCAAGAACTGTCAGTAGGTGCAAGGATACCAACACAAATACTTTGTGTCTGATTTGCATTTGTTCTATTACATGCATAAAAATACAGATAAACCTTTAATAACTACAAGGAAACAACAAGTTTCAATTCACATAAACCTTTGGGACATGCAGTGGTATTACACTCTGATTGCTTTATCTTGACTAGGTAATCAAAAAATGTAATGAAGTTGAATATTTCTTATTACATTCCTGTGACAATGCAACTCCCTATGTGATGTAGGAACTACATTAGTTACTATGTAACTAATACAGCTGCACCACAGCACCTTTTCTAACAATGATTACGTTTCAGTAAATAATGTAATGCAAAAATGTTAATTTTATTATTCCTCAACCCCCTAGCAATATAAATACAAATATAAACATAGAAAACCAGAAAAGGTTATTACCTCTTTCCATGTTATGTCAGTTTGATTAAGTGCCAGAATCTTCAATTTTGAAAATACACTGGATACAGAAGTTGGTGTAGATGGAAATTTCATTTTGTTTTCACTGCGTAAAAAGAAGAACTACTAGCATAACAAATAATTGCATTTATTTAAGTCACTAATTTGGAATTACGTACTAAAAAACCCCCACCAATTTATGAAAAAATTGTCACCGCCAAGTTGTCACATATTTTAAAGTATTATAAAGTATACTTCTAATTACAGTCAAAGGTACTCTTTCTTGATTTGCTTTCCTACTTTATGAATGCATGTTTATTCACTCCAGGCCTCTTTCCCCCCTTTTCCTCCTCTGTAGTTTTGAATATGTAAAAAATTATTTAAATGAATACTGAATGAAACAAAGTCAGATTTTGAGCTTAAACTCCTTAGCGTTGATTGAAAATAAAGAGCCTACAGGACTATCCAGACCCCAGTAAAAGTATGTAAAATTGGCTTTCAATAGCAAATTATCACTATTAAAAAGATTCTCAAATCTGCAATCTTCAAATTAGTTTTCATTATCCCCAAACAAAAGTTTTTCTTTCTTTCCTAAGGCCTGATCTACTGCATATTACGATACAAATCTCCCACTGTAATTATGCAGAAATACTTATGGGTCACGTTTCCCCATTTAAACAATCCTGTAAGAGAGCTGGTGGCCAGCCAATCAGTTCTTCCAACATTCCTTGCACAAAATATTCAGTAGCAGACTTACCTGTTAATACCCTTCTTTTGTAAACTAAACAGAACATCAAAGCAATAAACCACAAATTCGGACTATCTCAGTTTGCAGTCCTAAGCATCAGACTCCAGCATCAATGATGCTATGGGATGTGGCACACCCACTCAGTGCCGTGCTCTTTGGCCCAGGTGTCAATGAGGCTGTTCCGGAAATGAGTCCCATTATCCGACTCGATTCTCTCCAGAGTGCCATGTCGCCACAGTAGCTGCTTTTCAAGGCCCAGGATGGTGTTCTGAGCAGTGGCCTGTGGCACAGCATATGTCTTCAACCATCCGGTGGTCGTCTCCACCATTGTAAGTACATGGTGTTTGCCTTGGCGGGTTAGTGGGAGCATAATATAGTCAACCTGCCACGCCTCCCCATATCTGTGTTTCATCCATCGCCCTCCATACCTCAAAGGCTTTACTCGCTTGGCCTGCTTGATTGCAGCACACATTTCACGTTCATGGATAACCTGTGCGACAGTGTCCATGGTCAGGTCCACCCCTTGATCGTGAGCCTATCTGTATGTCGCCCCCCTTCCGTGATGGCCTGAGGTGTCATGGGCCCACCGAGCTATGAACAATTCCCCCTTGAGCTCTGCCAGTCCAAGTCCACCTGAGACACTCGGATCTCAGCAGCCCGATCTACCTGCTGGTTGTTTAGGTGCTCTTCCGTGGCTCAATTCTTGGGTATGTGGGCATCTACATGATGTACTTTCACAACCAGGTTCTCCACCCGGGCAGCAATATCTCGCCACAGTTGGGCAGCCCACATGTGCCTACCCCTGTGTTGCCAGTTATTCTGCTTCCACGGCTGTAACCACCCCCACAGAGCATTTGCCACCCTCCACAAGTCAGTGTGGAGACAGAGTACTGGCCACTTTTCTCGCTCAGCAATATCTAAAGCCAGTTGAATTGACTCGATTCGCTCTCCCCTTCAGTGGCTTCAGCAACTCGCCGGGTGGGGCTCCATACAGCAGCCTCCACCTTCAGTGCTTTCCCACAGCGCGACAGGACCCATCAGTGAACTGAGCGTACCACTTCTCGTGCTCCGGTAAATCATTGTATCGTGGGGCCTCTTCTGCACGTTTCACTTCCTCCTGCCGTGACACTTCAAAATCCTTGTTTTCTGGCCAGTTTGTAATGACCTCCAGAATTCCTGGTCGATTAGGGCTCCCCATTTGGGCCCGTTGTGTGAGCAGTGCGACCCATTTACTCCACGTAGCATCAGTCGCATGATGTGTAGATGAGGCCCTCCCTGTGAACATCCAGCCCCAAAGTGGAAATCAGGGTACTAAAAGGAGTGGTGCCTCAGTACCAACTGCTTCTGAGGCAGCTCGGACTCCTTCATATGTTGCCGGTATCTCTTTCTCAGTGGGAGTGTAGCGGGCCTCAGATCCTCTGTAAGCCCGACTCCGAAACCCTGAGGGTCAGCCTTGGGTCTCCCCTGGTGCCCTCTGCCAGAGACTCTAGTCAGGGTCATTCTGCCCAGCTGCAGCATAAAGCACATTTTTAACATCTTCTCCTGTCCGGACTGGCCCAAGAGATACTGCACAAACAATCTCTTGTTTAATCTGCTCAAAGGCTTGTTGCTGTTCAGGGCCCCATCTGAAATTGTTCTTCTTCTGGGTCACCTGAAACAAGAGAGCTTACAACCTGACTGTAATTTGGGATGTGCATCCTCCAAAACCCCACTGCACCTAAGAATGCCTCTGTCTCCTTTTTGCTAGTTGGTGGAGACATAGCTGCTACCTTATTAATCACATCCATGGGAATCTGGTGGCGTCCATCTTGCCACTTTACTCCTAAAAACTGGAGCTCCCGTGCAGGCCCTTTTACATTACTACGTTTAATGGCAAAATCGGCTTTCAGAAGGATTTGAATTATCTTCCTCCCTTTCTCAAAAACTTCTTCCACTGTATTGCCCCATAAAATAATGTCATCAACGTACTGCAGGTGTTCTGCAGCTTCCCCCTGTTCCAGCGCAGAACGGATCAGTCCGTGGCAAATGGTGGAGCAGTGTTTCCCCTCCTGGGGCAGTACTGGATGCCCCTCCAAGTAAAGGCAAACTGTGGCCTGCACTCTGCTGCCAGAGGAATAGAGAAAAACGCATTAGCGATATCAAAGGTGGCACACCATTTGGCAGCCTTCGATTCTAGCTCATATTGAAGCTCGAGCACATCTGGCATGGCAGCACTCAATGGTGGCGTAACTTCATTCAAGCCACGATAATCCACTGTTACTCTCCATTCCCCATTAGATTTTTGCACTGGCCATATGGGGCTGTTAAAGGGTGAGTGAGTTTTGCTAATAAACCCTTGGTTCTCCAGCTGACGGATCAGCTTATGGATGGGAAACAGGGAGTCTTGGCTGGTGCGATATTGCCGCCGATGCACCGTCGAGTTAGCAATTGGGACATGCTGGTCTTCAA